AAAAAAAAAGGAAAAAAAAAAAAAAAAAGGAAAAAAAAAAAAAAAAAGGAAAAAAAAAAAAAAAAAGGAAAAAAAAAAAAAAAAAGGAAAAAAAAAAAAAAAAAGGAAAAAAAAAAAAAAAAAGGAAAAAAAAAAAAAAAAAGGAAAAAAAAAAAAAAAAAGGAAAAAAAAAAAAAAAAAGGAAAAAAGAAAGAAAAAAGGAAAACAGTTTCCAAAATTGGAAATTAGGGGGATTAGGGGGCAACTTTTTAGGGCTACAAATCATTTCCCAAATAAAAATTGCATGTCGAAATAATAACGAATCATTTTGAAAAGATAGTTAAAAATAATTTTTCAATTTTTAATCCATTTTAAATAATATCATCTCATATAATTTTTATATATTTTTCAAAAAGTATATATAAAAAAAAAATTAACTTCTAATCATTTTCTCAAAACAATTCAAATTCGTGAAAGTCAACTGTTTTAGTAGCCTTTGTTGCATTGAAAATTACCTTGACCAAAACAATCTCCTTTAAATTAATCTTTGCTCAATTATAGCAAATTATGATGATGTTACAAAACTTTTTAATATATATATATATATATATTTTAAAGAAATTTATTAATGTGCTACTTTAAAACACAATTTAAAATTTTTAAATAGATTAAAAAATTTTAAAAGATGAATAATTTTTTAAACATTCTCAACCTATGTATCTTAAGGACACTCATTTTTAAATTAAATTTTATTAATGAATATTCTAAGATATTTATTAAATAATGTAAAATAATTATACATATATTTTATAAAAAAAATATATAAAATCTTGTTATCAAGTGTTACTAAAATATTAGATAATAAAAATTTCAATAATTAAACATTATTTAATGGAAGAGGTTATTATTATGGCCTATTTTGAGAATATGGTTAAAAATTAATTTTTTTGACTTTTTGATTTTTTTTGTTTAAAAAAATATGTAAAAAATGTAAGAGATGATGTGATTCAAAATGAGTTAAAAGTTAACTTTTACCTTTTTTTTTCTTTCTTCCCAAAAGAGCCCTATGTGTATTCTTGAAAATGGTGCATATAGCATGTTCTTCTTAAAATTTTGAAACATAGTATGGGATTAATTACATTAAAATCTCTTACTTATTTGTGAATATCATTGATGAATTCGTGTATTTTGATCTCATTATTTATAAAAATATATTATTTTTACCATTCTTACTCCTCTTAGAATAGGATTTTTGTACGATATTTGCAATTGATATATTCAAAGTGTACAAATTCATAAAAAAAAAGGAGAAAAACAATATTTATTAATACTTAGCTCATATTTTTATTAGTGATTCGTCAATAAAAATAATGATATCTTTTTCTTTTATACAAAAATACATATTTTATGTTATTTATTTTTATATTTTCACACTATTTACATTAGTAAGTGAGAAGGAGATTTATGAGCTGAAATGGGCCATGGTAAAGGCCAAGCAAAATGAGGGGCCAAACATGTTTGGGCCGTGATAGCTTGGGCTCGTCCGGATAAGGTTTTGCTTGGTAGAGGCCCAGGACCATATTGGGACCGAGCTACATGGGCTTGTCTATGTAGAAAATCGAGCTACTTGAGTTGCTCGGCTGAGATGGTTGCTTGCCAGTCTGGATTCCACGGTTCGTGCGTTTAGTGCGGCAGGAAGGCCTTTGGTTTGCTGGCTCGACCTATCTTGAACTCGGCTTTGCCAGAATGCAACCGAGCTCGGTCGCTCTGGAGCTCGGCAAGTGGAGCACTCGGGTACGCTGCGCAGCGCGGTCGTGAAAGGCCAAGGAGGTTCCGCCGGTCAGCCGGGCTCCACCGATATAGCCTGACGGTTTGGTTAGGTGGTGATTGCAGGATTTGTGCTGACAGATGGGAGAGCAGCACCACGTGTCAAGAGATTAATGGGAGCAGATTTGGGCGCAGAAAGTATATATGTGTGTCTGCGCCCCCCATGCTGGGATGGAACATCATTTGGTGAGAACACCCTAAACATAAAACTCTCTCATCTCTCTCTAGATCCTTGAGTGTGTGCTAACTTGACCGTCGAATGAGTTTCCAGCCACACACCGCCGTTGTCCTCGCAGGTCGATCGGATAGACAAGGAGCTTGGACGAAAGGAGTACGGGCTCCGCGGAATATTTGATCCCCGTACAATTGGCGCCGTCTGTGGGAACTTGATAGACAAAACCTTGTCTTTCAAGCTCATCTGATCGCCTTCCATAGCGAACAATGACGAGATACCGTTGTCCGCCATCGACGGAGTTACCCCGGAGTTAGCCAGACGGAGAGACGGGCTCCCCGCCATTCCACTAATGGCAGACCTGGAGACTTCCCCCAGGAGGACATTCAAGAGACACGCGGGATAAGCGCGGAAGGAGTTTTGGTCACTCTCGGAGCCCAGACGGACACCGGCGGCGGAGAGAATCTCACGCCAGACGTCTGGAGCACAAATTGAGGGACCAAGACGCCATCATCCAAAGAATGGCAGCAGAGATGGAAGATCTTAAGCGGCATGTCAAAAGGAAGGGTGTTGCTGGAGTGGGAGACTACAGTGAGCGCACCCAACCACGCCGTTCAGGCAGTCAGAGCCAGTGGCACACTCCCTCCCTTTCTATTACCAGAAGTTTCACCACGGTCTTTAAGATTTCAATCTATCGCATACTTAGTGAAATCTGAGACGAGGATTACGTCCGGTTTCCTGTTAAGTTAGGCGACGCACAAAAAGGTTTCAATCCGCAGTACCGCTACACATATCACTGGGAGCGAGGACACTAGACAGAGGATTGTTTGCCTCTGAAACAACAATCATCGCCGACAAGCATCACCACGGGAAAAGGGTCAAATCGTCAAAATCGGGAAAAGGGTCATCGGAATGACTGAGGTGAATACCCCCGCGATGACGTAGCTGATGCAAACAGAAGGTTGAAAGCTCGGACAAGCATCACCACGGTCTTTAAAATTCCAATCTATTGCATACTTAGTGAAATCTGAGACGAGGATTACGTCCGGTTTCCTGTTAAGTTAGGCGACGCACAAAAAGGTTTCAATCCGCAGTACCGCTACACATATCACTGGGAGCGAGGACACTAGACAGAGGATTGTTTGCCTCTGAAACAACAATCATCGCCGACAAGCATCACCACGGGAAAAGGGTCAAATCGTCAAAATCGGGAAAAGGGTCATCGGAATGACTGAGGTGAATACCCCCGCGATGACGTAGCTGATGCAAACAGAAGGTTGAAAGCTCGGACAAGCATCACCACGGTCTTTAAAATTCCAATCTATTGCATACTTAGTGAAATCTGAGACGAGGATTACGTCCGGTTTCCTGTTAAGTTAGGCGACGCACAAAAAGGTTTCAATCCGCAGTACCGCTACACATATCACTGGGAGCGAGGACACTAGACAGAGGATTGTTTGCCTCTGAAACAACACTTGGAGGAATTAGTCGTAGCCGGACACTTGGATCTTTATATTGACGGGGGTGTTAAGGCCGTGCATCCCACCCCGGCTGATCAGCATGGACCTGATGACTTGGAGACGCCTCCTTAAGGAGTGGTTAATGTGATCCACGGCATAGTGGAGCCGGCACGTGTATGCGAGCTCCGAGGGATGATTAAAATGGCGGAACACATGAGGGAAGTGTTGTCGGTCCAGCCCGCGATCAAAAGTGGCATGACCGAGGAGAAAGACGTGATTAGTTTCTCCACGAGGGACCTAGAGCGCATTCAAACGCCACACAACGATGCCCTAGTGGTCACACTCCGCGTCAAAGAATTTGATGTCAAGGGCATCTTGATCGACCAGGGAAGCTCGGTCGAGATCATGTATTACGACGCGTTCAAACAACTCAAACTCCGAGATACAGACTTGTCTCCGGCAACTTCTCCACTGGTTGGTTTCAACTCGCAACCGGAGTGGCCTTTGGGAAAGATAATTTTACCGGTCAAAGCCGGATCCGGGGTCAAGCAGGTAGAGTTCAGGGTATTGCAGGTGCCGTCTACGTACAATCTGATCCTCGGTAGGGGATGGCTTCACGCTATGTAGGCTGTGGCGTCGACCTACCACTAGGTTATGAGATTTCCCTCGGCTATGGGGGAAATTGAGGAAGTTTGGGGCGATCAATTCATGTCGAAACAATGCTTCATGGCAGTGAACGGGAGCCGAGCTGCCAAAGGTTTCGTCCAAATGATTGAAGGACCGGAAGACTGTGGAGTCCTTGAAGATGTGGGTGCCAAGGCTGAGGACAAAGTTGTTGAGGAGTTGGTAGAAGTACGGATTAACACTGAATGCCCGAACAAGTTCTTGTTGCTCGGCTCAAGCCTTACCACCCAAGAAAGGACCGAGATGGTAGAATTCTTGATGGCAAATATCGAAGTCTTCGCATGGTCGCCCTACGACATGCCCGGCATCGACCCGAGCTTTATTTGTCACCACCTCAATGTTTTCCCCGGTGCAAGGCCGCTCATTCAGAGAACTAGGAGATCGGCGCTGCACCACGCCAAGGTAGTCGCAGAGGAGGTAAAGAACTTGCTTGAAGCTCAGGCTATTCAGGAAGTGCACTACCCTCGACGGATTTCAAACACGGTCGTAGTACCCAAGAAGAATGGGAAGTGGCGAGTTTGCGTCGACTACAAGACCGTCAACCGAGCACGCTCTAAAGACAGCTTTCCCCTGCCCAAAATAGACCAGTTGGTGGATCTAACGGCCGGACATAACAGGTTCAGTTTCTTGGATGCCTACCGCAGCTATCATTAGATGCCATGCATGGCCCCGACTGTGAGATCACCTCTTTCACTACTCCACGAGGGCTCTTCTGCTACTGAGTCATGCCTTTTGGTTTGAAAAACGCCAGGGCAACTTTCCAATGGATGGTGACCAAAATGTTTGCTCCTCTGCTAGGTCGGACGATGGAGGCTTATATCGATGACATGGTGGTTAAAAGTCGGCATCAAGCAGACCACTTGTCCGACCTAGCCAAGATGTTTGCCATCCTCAAACAGCACAAGCTATGCTTGAATGCGTCTAAATGTGCCTTTGGCGTGGGATCCGGAAAATTCTTGGATTTTCTAGTCACAAACCGAGGCATCGAGGCAGACCCCACACAGATCAGAGCCATACAGGAATTGAAGCAGCCCAACTCGGCTAAGGACGTGCAGTATCTGGCCGGGATGGCCGCCGTGCTTAATCGATTCATAAGCCAGTCATCAGATCGCTGCAACCCTTTCTTTCGAGCCTTGAAATCCAAGTTTTCGTGGGACGAGGAGTGTGGCCGGGCTCTGGCCGAACTCAAAGAGTATTTGTCTTCTGCACCACTATTGGTAACGCCCAAGCCCGACAAAGAACTCTACCTTTATTTGGCTGTGTCCCAACATGCAGTTAGCGCAGTGCTTGTCCGGTCAGCAGGTATCCAGCATTTACCCATCTTCTACGTAAGCAAAACCTTACTACCGGCAGAGTCGAGATACTTGCTACTGGAAAAACTTGTCTTAGCATTGATGATGGCCTCCAGGAAATTGGCACACTATTTTCACGCTCACGCAATCATCGTTTTGACCGAGTTTTCCCTCAAAGCCTTGTTCGAATGGGCGGACTTCTCCGATCGAATTCTAAAGTGGGCAGTCGAGTTGGGACAATTCGACGTTCAGTTTCAACCCCGAATAGTCATAAAAGCTCAAGCATTGGCCGATTTTGTTGTCGAGTTCTCGCCTGGGATTCACCAAGTATGCCCGGTGGATTTCACCACAGTAGCCGAGGAGGCCAACGAAGATTCCACTGAAATTGTATTGCAGAGCGGTGTTGGCAACGCGGAACTTGCGCGCCCCGCCATAGAACCTCCAGTCGGCATGTCATCGCAGCCCGGCGATGCGACGACGGACTTGGGCATAACAGACCAATCTATTGGGTCTAATGCCGCGTCGCCGAGGGGGGAGGAAGTGGAACCAATCAGCATTGAACCTGAAGCCGAACAGCTGAGCGACTGTGATCCCATCAACCTTCAAGCCTCCCAGGACCCCTCAGAATGTTGGAAGCTCTTTGTTGGAGAAATGTAGAAACTTTTTGTAGATAGGGCCTCGAACCGTCACGGTGCCGGGCTAGGCATAGTCTTGGTCTCGCCAAATGGTCTGACCATTGAGCATTCTATCACCCTCGGATTCCCTGCATCAAACAACGAGGCCGAGTACGAGGCACTACTGGCCGGACTTAAGAGCACGCTCCAGGTGCGCGCGTCCGAGCTGATGGTCTACAGCGATTCCCAGCTAGTTGTCAACCAAGTATCTGGGGTTTACGAAGCTAAGGATGACAGAATGACAAAGTACCAAGTTCTAGTAAAGGACCACATCAAGCGATTCCAGGCGATCAAGGTCCAACAAATTGGACGGGAAGACAATGGCCGCGCGGATGAGCTGGCCGGTCTGGCTTCCATGGTCGACCGAACCTCACCCAATCCTCTCCTGATTGAGGTTCTTCCAAGGCCTAGTATAGAGGAACCAGAGCAGACAGAAGTACTCTACACCGAGCTTGGCCCTTCTTGGATAGACCCTATTATCCTCTTCCTGAAAGAGCGGACACTTCCGGCCGATAAAAAGGAAGCGCATAAAGTCCGTGTAAAGTCAGAGCGGTTTTGGCTCTCTCCATCTGGCGCTTTATACAAGAAGTCTTTCACCGGTCCTTATCTCAAGTGTGTACACCCAAACTGCGTGGCAGCTTTCCTGTACAAAATTCACAAAGGCATATGCGGTAGTCACGTAGGGGGCAGATCTTTGGCCTACCACGCTATCTCGCAGGGATATTGGTGGCCGTGCATACAAGCGGACGCTCAGAAATGTGTTCGCAAATGTGAGAAGTGCCAGAAGTTCGCCCACCAAATTCACCAACCGGCAAGAGAACTCCTTCCCCTCACAAGTCCTTGGCCTTTTGCGATGTGGGGACTCGACATAGTGGGACCACTCCCAATGGCACCGGGCAACCAGAAGTTCTTCATTACCAATACGGATTACTTCACCAAGTGGGTTGAAGCTGAGCCCCTAGTAACTATCAAGGAGAAAGACGTCAAGCGGTTTGTCTGTCAGAATGTGGTAATGCGGCTTGGCGTCCCCAAGATTCTGATCTCTGATAATGGCACCCAATTTGACGACCGCTTATTCAAAGGATTTTGTGAAGAATTGAACATTGAATTCTACAACTCCACCCCGGCTTACCCGCGGTCCAACGGCCAAGCCGAAGCATCAAATAAGATCATTCTTGACAGATTGAAGAAAAGACTTGAGAAGGCCAAAGGAAAATGGGCCGAGAAACTCCCAAGTGTCCTTTGGGCATACCGGACGACCCCGAGGCGATCTACCGGGGAGACTCCTTTTGCCTTGGTGTACGGCATGGAGGCTTTCATCCCATTGGAAATTGGTATGCCCACCATCCGCAGTGAAAATTTTGAGCCCGAGCTGAATTCTGAAGTAGTCGCCCTGGAATTGGACCTTGCTGAAGAGCGCCGGGAAAAAGCTTTGATTCACGTGGCTGCATACCAACAAGAATTGTCCAGGAAGTACAACAAAACCGTGCACCCCAGACCGTTTAAAGTTGGCGACTGGGTTTTAAGAAAGGTTATGGGCAACAGCCTGGTGCCAAGCGAAGGCAAGTTAGGGGCAAACTGGGAAGGACCGTACAGGATAACCGGTCTGGCGGGTAAGGGGCCATACCACTTGGAAGATTTGGACGGTAAAGGCATACCCCGGCCATGGAATGCAGCCAACCTCAAACTGTACTATTTTTAGTTTTCATAGTTTTTATGTTATTCTTCTGAGCAATGACTTGTTTGCCTTACATTTCAGAATGTAATACTCTTTTTGTCAATATAATAGAAGTGACTTACCTTTGTTGAAGCAATCTATTGTTTTCAATGCTTATTTCGTGATTTTAATCGAGATGTTTTATTTCGGTGGATTGAGTTGATGGCTTGCTCAACTTGATATTGAAACCGAGATAATTTACTCTGGTTGGTTGAGTTGATTATTTACTCAACTTTTAGATTCTAACCGAGATGATTTACTCTGGTTGGTTGAGTTAATTATTTACTCAACTTTTAGATTCTAACCGAGATGATTTACTCTGGTTGGTTGAGTTAATTATTTACTCAACTTTTAGATTCTAACCGAGATGATTTACTCTGGTTGGTTGAGTTAATTATTTACTCAACTTTTAGATTCTAACCGAGATGATTTACTCTGGTTGGTTGAGTTAATTATTTACTCAACTTTTAGATTCTAACCAAGATGTTTTACTCCAGTTGGTTGAGTTAATGATTTACTCAACTTTTAGATTCTAACCGAGATGTTTTACTCCGGTTTGTTGAGTTGATGATTTACTCAATTTTTAGATTCTAACCGAGACGTTCTAGTCTGGTTAGTTGAGTTGATGATATACTCAACTTTTAGATTCCAACCGAGATGTTTTATTGCGGTTGATTGAGTTAATGACTCGCTCAACTTTGATATTGAAACTGAGATGTTTTTACTCCGGTTGAATAAGTTGATGTTTTACTCAACTTTGTGATTGCAACCAAGATGTTTTTCTCCGGTTGAATAAGTTGGTAATTTGGTCAAGGGCAAGTTGATGGTTTGTCTAGCCGAGGTTGTTTGCTCGGCTGAAGTTGTTTAGCTTAAACTTAGTGCAAACACTTGACGAAAATAGAACTTTTCATTGATGAGGAATAGCATTACAAAAGGTGGGGCACTAGCTCGTTACATTTTCAAACAAAAAAGAAAGAAGACAAAGAAAACTAAACTAAGGGGGAAAGGTCTTTCAATTAATTATCCCAATTAATTAAACATTGTAATTAGGTCAATTCCCTAATTAACATATTCAACCCTTAGGTCCCATTTATCAATGATTCAACAATCATTCCATTTTTTCTATTGCCAACATGCATCTAGGTTTATTATGAATAAAACCCCAACTTTTTAAAATTACACAAAAGCCCCAAACTTTCAGAAAATTACCAAACCAGCCCAACACTCAAAATACCAAAATTTAAGGACAAAACCCATAGAGAGGAGTAGGATATCCCTACCTTGAAGTTTAGCCAAAAAGGAGATGAAGACTCGAAGATCAACGTGCTCAAATCCAAAACTTTTTTAGATTTTAAATCGAAGTCTTCACACCTCTATCTTTTTTTAACAAAGGCCCTAGGCTAGATTCACACTCTAGGAGAATCAAATCTTAGAGAGAGTGTAAGTGTAGGGAGAGAGAGGCTCGGATTTAGCTTTGGATCAAAAAGAAAGTGAAAAAGTGATGTTTAAAATCGCTACTGTCCGCTGATATAAAACACGCTCGCTCGAGCGAAGGCTTGTCGCTCGAGCGACCAGACACGGAAAACTCTCGCTCAGCCAAGCAGTTCTCGATCGACCGAAGAAAAATCCAGACCGCTCGAGCGAAGGAAGCTCGCTCGAGCCAAGAAAGACAGCTCTTCAGGTCCAGAACCAGGTGCAACCGCTCGCTCGAGCGAGCCACTCTTGGCTCGGACCCACCAAACACGAAACCCCACTCTCGCTCGAGCGACCAACTCCCTCGCATCGAGCGAAGGTCCAAAAATTCTGGGCAGCAACACTAGGCTCCGAACAAACCAACCTGCTAACAAACCTTGCCTAACACATCCTATAACTCAAATAGTGAGAAAAAGGAATGTAAACACGATAATAACAACTACCAAACATACAGACACATTGTCCGGATCACTGTACAACAAGGGTAAACCCGGGATCGCTATAATGCAACTAGGCATGCAAGCTAAGGATGCAACATGGCATGGTAAGGCACTCATATGTGCATGCAAGCAATCATGAGGCAATGCAAATTGATGAAAAGGTGGACTTATACATGATTTAGGCAACTCTAACTAGGCCTAAAAATAGTGGCCATTAGTGCTATTAAAATGAGGGCTAAATGTCATGCAAACATGCATGCACACAAGGACCAACACTTAAGCAGAAAAAGGCAATTTCTCAAAGCACACTTGAAAGACGCATAACTGGACTAATTGGCATGGAAGGTAAGCATTGAAAATCATGTAAAGGGTATTAGCCAATTAAACAAGACAACAAGGCATGCAAACGAAGCCAAAAAACCCAGACAAGCCAAGAGGCTTAAACCAAGACTAAAATCAACCAAACCTTACAAGGCTAAGAGGCTTAAAATAGGTCTAGTTGGAGACCTAAACAATCATCCAAGGCGACACCTAGATGGCACCTAAATGGCTCAAAATCAAAAGCATGCCACAATGACCAAAACATGGAGCATGCAAGTCAAGCTTCCAAAGCTTCAAAGAGGTATCAAAGCAAGCACACAAGCATGTCAAGGGACTGAAATTATGCTATAATATGATGCCAAATCATTAGAATAAAGCAAGTAATGCTGCTACATACTCACACACTTGAGGCAACAAGCCAAAATGCAAAGGGGGCATATAATGCATTGCCATAGCCGACCCAAACAACTATGGACAGACTCTAGCATGGAAAATAAGCACACAAGCTTCACAAAACTAGACCTAAAACATGCTAGAACAAAAGGCTAAACAAAACCTAGACAATTAAGCAATAAAGTGGCATTACAAGGTAGGT